GCTTTAACTAATGGTTAGTCACATGTATTTGTTTTCCATGTGAAATGAATGGATACAACATTAATTAGCGATGTAGGTAATCGTGTATCTAAGTGACGTGTTAAGAAGAATAGGTTCATAATTATTTCAATAATAATATCATAGGCATCAGTGAAGCTTGGGGAATACATGACATAGTTCTATGCTTCTGACATTTTTAAAGGACAAATTAGTTTTCGTTTATATATAACAATCCCGTTGTTTTATGAAAAATTATGTAGACCTTTAGAAAAAAAAAATTAAAAAATATTAATTTGAACTTCAATTAAATTTAATATATAGCAGGCTAGACGTGATTGTCTAGGATTAACCATCTTGAGCTGCGCCTTCACCTGCCAAGTGGTAGGCATGGAACCGTACGGATAACTAATAATATAGAACGGGATAAAATAAATCTATCAAAAATGTCGCTCTCGGCTTGAATCTGGGACTGGTAGTCCCATTGTGTTTTCATTATATAATATGTTTATGTGCACTGTTTAGTTTCAAATTCAGTAATGAAATTGACAATTCAGAATCACATAGCTCTATAATTTGATAATTTCTAACGCTTAAGATCAAAACATTACTTCAAATATTTGTATGGAAATTCTTAGAGCGCGTATTGGCCAAGTCGCTGGGCGCACAACTTTCAGTGTGACTTTACGTGCACCTATAGATCGTATGTGCGCAATTAATGCATGCTCGTTCGCGTGAAGGAAAACATCGAGAGGAAACCGGCATACCCTAAATGTTGATATCGTGTATTAGTCACAGGAGGCGTCTAAGAGAAAAATGTATGGCGTGTGTCAGGGATTGATGACTTGCCTACATAGAAAAATTATCATGAAAATAGATACGGATATCTCAGGCCATGGGCAGTAGTGCCATTATTTTCTTTTGAGTACCCATACAACGACCTTTTATCATTTATACAGATTTTGTATCGAGTCGAGTACCGCCACAAGCATTTTTACTCGGAACTTATAACAGATAGTTGATACAGAAAAATTTCCGTCGAGAACCTCAACGGAATTGTGTACATCTACGGTAAGTGTACATCTACCCTAAGCTAATTATAAAGACTGAGCAAAGAAGCTTACGGCGTTATGCATCTCAATAACGAACATCAAAGGTTTTACAAATTACAATTTTATAACTTCCATCTTGTAGATCGGAAATTACTGTTAAGAAAACTGTTTGCCTTAGATCTATCTTCGCGAATATTACCTTTGTTATTAAGGTCATACTGCAAATGACATAGAGTTAACAGACTCAAAGAAACTTTACCAATAATAATCAATACTCATTTTCCCCTTTTTCCTTATGACACTCAGATATGACATTGAATCGTTGTATATGAATATTCTTTAATATACATAGAAATGTATTTTTCAATATTATAATTATATTATAACTGGCTGTCGCGCAGTACGCTAGGCCGTGCGCAGCCCGTGAGATGATTATGAACTAGGGGAAATGGAAAATTAGGGTTAATTATTGAAATGTTTTCGAAAACTTAATCAAACGTTTTCTGCTTCCATTAAATATCTTATGTCCGGGGTGAGCGGTGCGCTGGGCCGGACGCGTCCCTTGATTTGGGAGGCTGAAGGATTTGAATTAGGGAAATAGATCAAATTCCCAAAGAAAGATAGGATTCCACGATGGCAATTACTTGTCCAACAAAAAATGCTTTCAAATACCAAATCAAACACTTTCCGGTCTTGGTGAATTTCTGATGTTGAGGGTAAACATGCTGCGCATGAGATGTGAGATTAAGGGTTCGGAGCCATATTATCTCGGAATTTGGAAAGAAAATCATATCCTACAAAGAGCTGTACTACGTAATTAGAATACGTTTGAAATTCTCATTCGAACGCTTTCCGCCCTCGGCAATTTCCTCATGTCGAGCCTAAACGTGCACTGGGCTGCACGCCAGGGACTGGAGGCAGGGCAACTAAAAAAATAAAAATAACACTTTCAAGTACTAAAAAAAGTATGACACATATTTTCTTTGAAATTTTCATCAAGACCTGAGACTTCAAGAGATCCTGGTTAATTTTTATGGCGCAAATGAGTGAAAATAACTCGTTTGACATCTCTTCTCTCTGTTTCGCGCCATTTTAGACCACAGAAAAGAATGCTCAATACTTTTATTTGAAATTCAAAAAAAATCAACTACTTCTAAAAGTGCCCCAGGTTCCTGGTGAGTTTTTACCCCCACATTGCTATTTCAAATTGGAAAATGGAAATCAGATGTTTGAAAAAACTCTCCCGTATCAATTGCTCAAAAACTTTCGTTAAATACCCTAATTCGAACTCTTAAAGTTAGTCCAGGACATTGACATCTCCAGGGGAGCAGATAAAAATTTTCTGATTAGTTACTAGATCCCCGATCTAGTGGAAGTTCAGACACAATCATATTTTCAGCATAGCGCCGTTTACTCCTTACATTACGGTTTATGATTTGAGACAAAATTATAAATATTCAGAAAAAAACGCTACACACGCAAAAATGCCTCTTAGCATAGCCCCAAGTACCTGATTAAAGTTTGTTCGACAATTTTTTTAGAATTTTCAGATCCTGGACTGATCCAGTACTAGCTGACCCGGCGAACTTTGTACCGTCTAACAGTGTCGACTTTTTTGGGTCTAAGGCAAACCGGTTTCCTTACGATGTTTTTCCTTCACGAACGAGCGAGTGTTAAATGCGCACATAGAAAGAAAGTCCATTGGTGCAAGACTGGGGATCGAACCTACGACCTCAGGGATGGGAATCACACGCCGAAGCCACTAGGCCAACAGTGCACTATGAAATGAAAGGAATACAAAGAATAAAAAACAAATATTAATTCAATGCTTTTAAAAAAAATTAACATAAAAAGGAATATACTCATGCATAATTAATATTTGACAAATAATAAATACATAACATGTCAATCCTATTTCATTACTGACATTTATCTACATTTAAAAAATCTAAAATACGCCATTAGCTGATTTGTGGATGTCTTGTCGATTTGAAACTTTTCTTTTAATACGTTCTTTAATTTGATTTCATTTACCGCATCGATGAACATGTTTGACTGTTACGAAACCCATGAACATTTTGTTGGTCTGGATGTTTTTTTTTTTATTTTATTTATTTTTCGTCTATTTTCCAAGGGGTTTTTTTATAAACCATACAAATCGGTCTAGGTGTTCTCGAGTTATAAGTGTTCGAACAAAGCCCACGATATATAAAGCTACGAAGCAGACCAAAGGTTTGGATTCAGAACTTAGGTGAACAACCTCCGTAACCAGGAAAAGCTAGGTGAGATTCCTGGGAAACAATAATTTTACTTAAAAACCATCAGTGAAACACGAGTAATAGTTTCTGCCTGCCAGTCGGATTACGAGACATCAAACAAAACCAAGGGACTACAATATGAAATACTATTCATTGTGACTCTTTACTGTGATTGGTCTAGTGACTTTTGACCAATCGCAATCAAGCACTGGAAGTGTTCGTTTTTTTAAAAGATAATAATATATTAAGCTAAACATAGGATGTTTTATATTGTTAGTAATACAAGAAAGTAATATTCCAATAATTATTAGAATCCGTTTAGAGAAATTTGAAAGTAGGAGAAACAAGAAGAATTTTTATTCATAAAAAGTTCTTATCCCCCTATATCTAATACGAACATACTATTATAGAAACATAAGTTCCGACCATCAAACGGTCTGCTTTTTTAGGAATCCTATGGCATAAATCTCATGGGTATGACGGATATGATACCTCGACACTAATATGAGTATAATTTAGATATGAAAATTGCTTAGAGGCAATTTGTTACGTATGCCTGCAAGAATATTACAAGCATGATATTAAAGAACATAAGAATACATTCTAGAGCATATTATCTCCATATAAATTATTTCACCCTGGATTTTTGCCTTTACAACGAAGGAAGTTTCTAGACGGAATTTATGACATTACGGAAAATTGTTGAGATAGTCAAATCCTTTAAAATTTAAACTTTAAGATTCAGTACCATAGAAGTAGAAGATAACGCGCATGAATTAGCTCAAAATTATAAAGTTGACCGATGTTTTGTCCAAGCCGTAAGTTGAAACTTCGGATATAATTTATATAAAAAAGTGTAACTGTTGTAATGTAGAAGTGGCGCAAAATCTAAATATTTTTTTAAATAATGCTCGTTTTAAAATAAAGTGTAAAAAAACGTGTTCCAAATTTAAAATAATTTAAAAGTTGAAAAAAAATGCATTTTCATTTGTAACAAAACTTATGGCCGGACTAGTTATAGTTTATCTGTGATCCTTTGTCCATACTCTCAAAATATTCAACAGATTTGAACCCGATCCGTCATCCGAATCGTATCGCAAAGCCATATCAGTAAATTACTAAAACCAAATTAAGTACGATATCTAGATAAATAAGTATTTGAAAAGCTGTTCATACATCTTGTTTATCTCTAAAATTTTCATAACAAAGATTTGTATTTCAGCAGAATATAAATTCTATAATTTGTAGTCGATTTACAAATTAGATGCCAGCTTTTGACGCTGAATCTACACAAAATTTTGCTTTATCTATATCAAAGTATAATTAAGCTCATTTATCTTAGCAGCGTAGCCAATTTTTGTATTCGTATGGTTTCATTTTCAACTTGTCAAGTTCAATTACCGTGGAAATTAAAAAAAAAATATTCCACATTCAACAGTTGATATCATTTTATCACCTGTTCAAATCAAATTTAGAAAATAGAAACCAAAGTGGAAACTTACGAACTTCCATAAGCGCAGAAAAAAATAAAAAGCAAAAAAATTCGCCATTAACATGCTAATTGAAATAATAGGTAATCGCATTAGCTTTTTTGTGTCAAATAAACAACATATATTATATATTATATTTTTATCAAGATACAGAAAAATAATACAAAAAAATTTACGACATCAAAACATCTAAATCATCTCACCTCTAAACTCCAATCTTATAACCCTCTCAGCTTTGGATTTAATGATTTTAAAACGCTTTAAATAAACCGTTAGCGACATTTTGAATTAATTAAAATAAATATCACTAAAAATAAAATTTAAAAGGCATCACGCAAAGCGCGCTCCGCCGCGCGATTTTAACTTTTACGCGATGAGGTCTATGTTAGTATTTTCCTAACGACCGCTTCCGATGAACGATGGAACTGAAATGAAGCTTGTTCTCCGGGCAATGAGGTGTTCTACCCAGGAGGCGGGGTTGGGGGATGATGGCTGACAGGGTGGCACCTCACGATTGTGGAGAAAACGCATATTCGCGTATAAAGGACGTCTTTGTCTGTGTGGCTATCAGAATCGTAAAATAAACTGTCAATATTTTTCATAACAATGTCCGACCAATTATTGTATACAAATAATCTTTCTTCTCGATGTTACAATATGGAGTAACAATAGTTAAATGCAATTTAACGTAGATGAAGCAACAGATAGGCGACAATAATTTTTATTGATATGATAACTATCTATCTAAACTAAAATAAAAACAGTCTTTGACAGTGAATGATAATATTTTCAAGATAGCGCTGGTCATTTACCAGTGATGTTTTTTAACAGTCTAAGAAGACTGATAAAGTTTATGAGTAAGGTAATGAAAGTTGTGCACATGTATTATACATTTATCACCCAACCAGTTAAAAATTACTTAGCCATTTCACCTAATCAACTTACGTACAATCAACAAAGAACGTAAAGTTTAACGAATTTTAACTTAATTAATTAAAATTCGTTAATGTTTGCAAATGAAAGTTGTATAATCATTGTGTAACCTTTGTATAAATTATTCAGTGAATAGCGATGGCTTCTATTCAATTGTACTTTATAGTAAACAAGCTAAATCGCTAAACCACAAATCAAATTCATAGTTTAAACTATCAGCGCTAACTAGGGCTGCCAGATGAAAAAAACGCATGATCGTACGCCAACTAAAATAATCGTATTTCAAGGAAATTTGGAAATGAAAAGATCGTACAACATAAAAGTGGAAAGATTTTTTTTAAAATGAGAGGCTGCCTTTTCTTTGAAGAGTGTAACTTTAAAACTCCATATTCTGAAACCATTTCGACGTCACAAACAGTGCACCTGGCTTTAAATTGGTTTTTACCGGGCCCTAACCAGTCCTTAATTAAATCTAATTTTTCCCAATCGGGACGATACTTCTGTGCTCTGTGTTTGTTCCTCTCTATTGCAGAATGCTCTCTTTTGGCTAATTTCTTTTTTGGAGTACCTGGCGCAGGTCTCTATTATTCATTTTCACTACTTACCCATTTTTCCTTAAGCGTATTGAAGTAACACAAAAAACACTAAAGACAATATGCAGATCAAACGAGGATAATATAATCGCTTAGAGCTCGAGACTGATGAGAAAAACAGGTTTTTGACTATTCCAATGCAAGTCTTTACAAGAGAAAAATAATAAGTTTTGTAACAATGCACACAAATAGAGACTTTATATAAAAAGGGTCTTTAGACGTAAAGAGTCTTCATCCAAGTAAAAGATCTAGGCATACGTTAGGTTGTTGAGGAATACCCCGAACACAATATGTTACCAGGTACAGAAAAATCGTACATTTTCTGTACGATCTTGGTCTAGCGATCGTACATGAGTAAAAATTACAAAAAATCGTAATAGTATTATTTAAATCGTACATCTGGCAGCCCTGGCGCTAAGTAGTGTTATGAACTGTACAATATATTATTGTAAAACACAAAAGTGTAGTGTAGTTATGTTACATAGTTAGATGGGAAACTTACTGTTACTTCGACGGCCTTTTTTATATAAATTTAAATCGTAATAGTTCCAAACGTAGTTAGGCAATAATCCTTAAGTATACTGAAGTATAGCGTTGTCTATTTCGTAAGATACATGGCCGCGTAACCTGTGATACCTAACTATTTAATAATTGTTTCGAGCAAGAACCAAAGCGTATTCTATTTTTTTTTATATTAACTTGTCTGATTATAAATGATTAAAACACCCCAGACCCCTGATTGTGAATAAGGATTTTAATAAATACTCTTAATGGTGGAATGAAAGGATTCATTACATTTATTTTAAGATGTTAGACTGCCCTGGTACCTTTTAAATAATTGACAGACAGTGTCGCAATGGAGTTTTATTCCTATCGAACACTTTATCAAGTTCCTAAGATAAGAAAAAATGAAATTAAAAAAGTTTTAGTTACCGAATAAACGGTGCTTATCTACGAGCCTTTAAGAAATAATAACAGATATATTCTTAAATTATCAATACTGGCTTGATTTTTTATGCAAACATTTCGTAAAGCTATCAAGATTATTATAAAACAACTAGGTTTATATTTTAGAAGATAAATACAATCAGAACAAACAATGCATACGCAAAACAAAAAAAAGGGATTTCTATTTCAAAATAAATAAAGAATAAATATTAATTTCAAGTCTGGTTGTTAACATTGATACGTCTGCCTTTGAGCACCCAATGTGTTGGAAACGTAATTTTATACTCGTATATCAAAAATGTTCTACAATTTGAATTCAAAAATCTAAATAGAATTCATACTACGCCCACATACGATTTGGATTACAAATATAAGAATATAAAACTAGTCTATCGACATGTGTCCAGTACACAAATCTTTTCAATCCATAATCTATAGAATTTATTAATCGTGTTAATCGATGCATGTTTGCGCTTTCGTCCAAATACGTGTATTTTAGTCAAGTTTTTAATATCAAATTATAGCTTTTCTTTAACACTATTTTGTAAATCAATAATCTAGTGGGGGATACAATTATGGCCTCAGATTGCATCTTATTTTGGTAATTTTATGAACAAGTAGGCGATAAGCCTTCAGCGCCACATTTCCCTTTTTAATCCAAGATACACCGGTTTGTCATTAACACTTAGAAAAAAAAATTTGCTTTATTTAAAATTAAAACCGTAGGTTAAGATTTGCTTTTTTTATTACGGTATAAGTGTATTATTATTAAGCGAATTTTTTTTTTTGCTTTTGGCTTCATTTTATTTATTTGTCGAGTTTCTTTATAATGTATATTCTTAGAGGTGCCGTTTATTAAATGTATGTGTATATTACAAAGGGTATCGGTAAGTGGCGCTTCAGTCATGCAACCATTTCCGCCGAACCCGAATAGGTTCTTGCTTAAACAAACAACTCTACATATAATATTTTGTCACGTAGTCATTGTTTATGTCCTGGCATTTTTGTCCTCCTTGTCTTGTATTGGCTCCTTTTTACGAATAAACCTTTTATTTAGTTTGAAGGAAACATATGTTGTTAAAGTTTATTCGGTCTTAGCTATAATTTTTAGTTTAAACATAATAATTTTCCTTTTTGCCTTCATATTGTAACTGCGGTACAAGGATTACCAATTAACGTGAAAAAAAAAATACACTAGTTGAATTTAGTTTAGTTTGAATTAATATTCGATTAACAAATCAAATAGTAAATTGTATTTTATTATTATAAAGCACATTGCATTTATTCTCATCTTCCGATATTAAATTCTCATTTCTATTGTATGAGAAATCGTAAAATAAATAAAATTATCCTTAGCATCCGCCGCATGATGTGTCCACACTAGTTACTCATATTAATGCATTGTATTAATTATTGTTAGAAAAGTAATTAAGCTAATGGCCTAATTCATCTATAAACAAGTTTAGCAGAATTAGTTTTAACTCTCGCTTTTCTATACCTAGTCTCTTACTAATAATTCATTACAATAACTATACGTAAATAAAAATGAATTGCAGAATCTGCTAAGCGCAAAAGTTAAAGACCAAATCGATTTTTTTCTAATTATTCCTACAACAGAGGATTTTACGGAGAGAATTTTTTTTAGTGAAAAAAAATATTTTTAGCAAAAGTCTCTTTGAGGTACAGACACCGGCGAACTTCTTGAGCATTAAACAAGGGAGTAGGGTAAAGTTTGCGCATCGTAAGGGACGCGCGGGACACAAACGTCCACTGATTTACCAAACACGCGATCGACACGTCTCTCCCCCTCCCAGTCATACCTAAAAATCTCTTCTGCGCAGGCAAGGACCTTTGTTCAAGATGTTTGCCGGTATCTGTACAATAGTTCCATATGTCGGTATGTGGCTATAATAGTACTAAAAAAACATTAAGGCGACAATATAAAGAATTAAATACATACTTTTTCACGTCATTTATACGATGTGAGTTAAGTTAAGTTATAACACAACGTGAAAGAAAAGAAACTTATACATGTGTTATCAATATATTCTTTGGTAGAGATTACTCAGTTCCATATTTGAGAATTTAATTTTGCAATTAAATTGTAACTTTCTTCCCTTAATTTAAGGCTTAAATTCGCTTGCCGCAAGTACTCGATATGTTACCAATTAATACCAAAACCAAATCACGTTGTGTGCTGCGTCATTGGGCATGATGCGCGGGCGCATCTCGTCATAACACGAATATAAGTCGGTGCGTGGTATACATGGCTATTCTAAAACCCGTTGCTCATTCAAATTCACGTAAGAAAACAGCTTTGTAAGCGTCATAAGTGTTATCGGCGTTTAAGAATGCGGTCTCACTAGTATTCATTCCGACTAGCTTCAGTTTGATCTCCGCACGCTTTGTGAGTTGCTGAACCTGTGATTATTTCTCCACATTCTCGATATTTCTAAAATGCACGAGACAATACGTAATCAGGTAAGGACTTTGTTACTAATAGCACTTATAGCGATGTGTTTTTTAGGTTAGTTGTTTGCGATGCAAATTTTTTTGTGTTAAATTTTAAGAAATAAACTCTATTTAATTCCATAATATAGAACAAATAAAAATGTTAACTACGCTGTTTCACCCAACCATATTAATCGATTACCTTTTGTTATGCGATACGTCTACGGTCTATCTATAATACGAAACGTGTACTGATTGTAAATTAAATATGTTTAATTAAAAAACACGTCCTTATCTGTAACGCGTTTATAATTGTTCATTAATAATGTGTCCATCATTTGAAACAATTTACGTAAACATCTGCCCTCGACAAGCCGATAAATTTATTATAATTTAATAAGTACTCAATTTATTCACAATCTAAATATAATATGTACTATACACATACGAGTTTCTAAGATTGGGACAACACGTCATTTTTGCATTACGCACCTAAAGTATTCATGAATTCTTAAAAGGCACGTTGTTAGATTTCAGTTCTGTAAAATGCGAATTTCTTTGTTCGTAAGTAAGACAGACAAGGAACAGGCTTATCATCTTGCACATGAATATTATTTTAAAACATATTACGTATTTATCCATTACTATACATATTTAACATTCTTTGTATTTATCCTTTGTTAATCGATTAAAATGCCCGAGTCACAATTTACGATTTTTTAATTTATAAGTACTTTACCATTATTACGCTCTCCTGCTTTCTTTCTTTAAATCTTTAAATTACATATAAGTGTAACATTTTAATAATTTTTCCAAGGGCAGGCCGGGTCATCATTTGAATGGCCTGCCAAAACTTCAGGTTGCAAAAACTGTCTGCGTCGCCAAATCCGTAGGCGATTTGTACTGCTATGGATAATAGGTATCCATAGTTAAACTTAGTTTTATGGCTTTTGTAAGTAGATAAAGTTTTTATATAAATATACAGCGTTACTTTATTCTAAAAGCGTTTCAAACAAAGGTAACATTTTCATAATTACTTAAAAGCACTAGCTTATTATGTTATTGGAAGCCTTACGTTGAATATTACTCTTGCATCACCGTAGCAGTGGCGTCAAACACTGTAGGTACTATCCTTAGTTGACGTTTTTCATAGCCTTTACTTTTATTTACTAACATTGGGTATCGATCCAAGACGAGGAGCGGTAGTCCAAGGCACCCTAGATCTGCCGCGCAAGATTGTTTTTGAACTTTGTACGGACTTTCCTGTCTTGGAACTTTGTCCTTACAAAGTTAACCATAAATATCATCACGTTTAATGTCAATGTGACAGAGATAAGCAAACGTTCTTCGGTAATCGTTAAATGACATATATTATTAGAAAATAATAATACATTGTTTACTATCGTCGTTATCAGGATAGTAACTGGTACGCTTACTTTTCAAGTAATGACTATGGACATCTGATAATAAAACTAAATATATTAACAGATGATTAATATCATTTCAGTGCATAATTTTATTATAATACTTGTGGTGTTGCAATAAAATATATAATTATGGGATTCTTTAAATCGATTTCGCGTCTCGATACAAGCCTTAAAGCATGCAGTTAAAACAACTGTAATAGTATATTTCATTACAAGTGCGGAAAGCCTGTCATTGCAAAGAGTTTCGACAAATGTCTACCCGAGCCGAGGCGCAGCCGAAGGTGAGGGTTGACAGTCGGAACAAGTTAAATAAAATAATAGAAAAACAATAAACTCAACTCACTAATCATTTATTTCTTATACAAATTATTGTTCACATATACATTGGTACAGTTTTTTATACTAACTGGAGAAGTTTTAGGTTGCATATTTATTTACTGTTTGAGACAAACTATTATTTATTTCGTATGATTATTCTTGTATATTTAATATATAATACTATAACAAACAACTAAACGCGCAAAGAACATTTTTGGAAAATGGCGCCGATTTTTTTTTTCTTCACCCATTCTGCCCATACAGCCAAGTCTTCAGTACAATTTTTTATTGATATGAAATGAAATTTAATGAGATGAAATGAAATCTAACCTAACTCATTGAATCAAATCATTAAATCTGATATTGAAACAAAGCAGTAGCTTCTTTTTAGAAATATTTGCATGAATCATAAAAATTTCTATGATTTTTTTTTAGTAAAAACTTCGTGGTTGGTTTTTTCTTTTTAATAGACATTATTTTGACAGTTGGGAAAGAAAACGCACTAGTTCGGAAAAGGTAAAAAAAAAGCACGAGTGTGTAATAGCCCACATCCCGAACGCTATACGTCCCTGCAATACGCCACTTTTTGAGCAACTGTATTAAAAAATAATTTTAATAAAAATTTGTAACGGGAAATGAATAATAAATAAGAAAACAATAACTCCCCGCGTTTAAAGCCCTTCATAATTGAGGCCAGTAATAATATCTCTCTACACAGTCACGCTTTTGCCGGTAGCATGCGATACAAAATTACCATTGTCTATTTTTATGACTTAATAAGATCTTTAATAGAGTCAAACTACATTCCGTATCTTCCTAGTTAATGGACCGTACACGGTCGGGAAACAGGCTGGAAACAGGCAATGATTTCACGTAACTGGCTATAAGTGAATGCTTAGCAGAAATAAATACTTTAACGATGTAAATGCCCTATAACAATGCAAGTAAATCCTTTCACATTTAAAAAAAAATATAAATAGAACGAATAAAAGCTCGCATCAGTTCTCGTTTGCATAGCTGAGTGGTGAGCCAAATCTCACGTGAAATACATTTTGTTTGTTACTAAGTCCTGCAGTTTTTACTTGTGTTACTACGTCGTATAGTCCAAAGGCAACTCCTGCAAATTAAAGTTTAATTGCGACACTGTTTTAACTGGTTAAAAATAAACGATTAAGTCTTGGATTTCTCTGGTAATGTTAAATGAAAATATTATATATATAATATAGTTATTATTTGATAATAATAAATATTCTTAATAATCCATTGAAATGTTACAATTTGAGGGCCAAACTGAACAGAGGACGCAATTTTATTTATGTAATATGTAGCGGGGGGTCAATAGAAGCTTAAACCCAAGTTTGTGGGGTTGGCGCCCTTGTCCCACGGCCGCCATCTTGGAAAAAGGGGTGAAAACACGTTTTTGGCTATATCTCCTAAACTATCCATCGTACAAAAAAATTGTGAGTACATATTTAGTAGCAAATCACTTTGCCTATAATGTCTACAGAAAATTTCCTTTTTCAATAAAAGCGTCTCACTTTGACCGCGTTCTTGACAATCAATTAAAATTACCTTCTCTAGCGATCATGTAAAAAAAGATAAACGTGTTTTTGGTTTTGATTTAAAGGCAGTTAAAATACATAAAGGAAAAGGTATTTTTAATGTAAGAGTATACACAATGTATAATTATTATGTTAAAAAGGATTCTTCGGTGGCTTTATAGTCTGGAAAAGAAATAAAAAGTCTACAGTTATCATATCAAACAAAAATCCAAATTTAATCTATGCGACGACTGTTATTAATAATATAATCCTGTTATGAACCACAGTTTTAACAGGATTGTTTTATAATCGCTGCGTTGTGATTTGTGTATAAATAGAAGTTCCAAAAATAGCAATATTAATAATAAACGCTAGGTGGGGTCGTCTGGCGTAAAGAGTATTAATTCCTGTTTTGTATATTACAAACAATTTTTCTTTTTCTCTACATTTAGAACGCAGAGGTGATAAATGTTGTTTATACTGGTATGACTTAAGCGACTGGTATGATTCCCAGCAAAACAATAATTCCAGTTGGAAAGCAACTAGTTACTTGCTATAGGTAAATAGATCAGAAATATGATCGTATGTTTAATGAACTACGCTTTACATTACAAATACAACGGTTTTGCTGACGTTTTGCTCTCGTCTAGTCAGCAGATTTATACATTTGTTAAGGATTGCAATAATTGTTTATAAATACAATTTTAGGCCATATATTTCGTTCCATAATATAGATCATAGATTTCGTATAAAACACAAATAAATAAAATGGCGCTTTAAGATCTGAGCATCAGATTCTAGTATCTGATTTGTGATCATTTGATTATTCCAATAGGCTAGTAGGTGATGATCCTTATGTTCTTGACACACGCCGCGAAGTCTTCTTTCCAAACATATTAGATAAAATATTAATATGTGGTTAACTTAACGAGTGCCAACTGCCAGAATAACCACGTGGAAAATGTAGCCCCATACCACGGGTCAGAGCCGATCATTGTCCATACTAATAAATATTGTAAAAACTGAAAGCTAATATATTTTTTCGTTTGTTTATAAGAGTAATCTCTATAACTACTAAACCATTTCTAAAAATTATTTCGATAATGATGACTCTGTCTATTTGTGTTTTATTTTATATATGCTAGCAAAAATTATAAAATATAGTTTTTTTCGTCTATTATACTATATTTAAACCATTGCATTGTAGTATATGTTTTATCTATTCATTGACACCTAACAGCGGCAAATAAAATTATACAAACTATTTACTGTATCGTATACCTTCAGATTATAACACATATACCAGCTAATAGGTATATTTAATTTAACTAAAAAATGCTTCAAAAACATTATACAAAACTCTGGTCTCCTTTATTAGATAAAATGGCTCTGTAATTTCTCTTTTATATTAAATAATTTATAATGATCAATAACTTGCTTACAATTTATAACTTGTTTTTTTTGTATAAGTAGTTAATAATTCTTAACTGTGTTTTATGTTTATGTTCGAATGTGTATTCCATTTTTGGCTTTTGTGTATAATGTAATTGTTTAGATATTATATAATACAAAAGTAGCTAAATAAGTAAATAAATAAGTGGGTATCACGCAAAATAAATCATATAGGTATCATTTTCAATAAAATAATAAAGTAGCATCTGTTTAGTACACATATATGCGGTTTGATTTGAAATTTCATGGAATCTTTTTTTAAATAATTAACAACGTATTATATGTTCTTACTAATATTATAAATAAAAAGTGTGAAGTTTAGTTTTTGGGAATGGTATTTATTGACCGCTGCTGGCAGCGCGAGGGCGAATGACTAGTGAAACAAACGTGGCATACGTTCGCGTGAGATGAGACGGATGATACAGTGCTTCGCGGAACAAAAATGAAGTCAACGTCCAATGATTTTTATTTAAATAACTCGTAAAATATACATTATTTCATAAAACCGCTAGTAACAGCTCTCGGTCAAACTAATTTGCTGTAATCAATTCATTTTTGACTCCATAATACTCGCCATGATTGAATAAAAACGAAAGTAGACAAAAATTAGAGGTGACTTTGTGAATTTTTTGTATCGAGGAATTTATATTCATTGTGTTTTTAGTTAAAGTCAAAAGTCAAAAATCATTTATTCGTATAGGTAACACAATGTACACTTATGAACGTCAAAAAAAGAAATATACATTAAATGCTTCTAATTTTACACTTACTGCCAGTTCTCTCCACCACTTTTTTCAACCCCAAGTTTTTTGTTTTACACAACGTTTGTAAGGAGCTGCAACCATGTTCTACATGACATCTTAAGTAATAAATAATAATAAAATAAATTATAAACAAGGATTTGTGTTCTATCAGCAGGAGGCATGGTGAAATAGGAGTACACACTTACATTCTCGTGGGAACAACACGGAAATACATAGTCGAAACAACTAACATCACCGCATACACTAATTCAAGTACGACCAGTCACCACAAGTAGCACCCGTTCACGAGTATGACGCATGGCCAGCCATAGTCGACCATTGAAATTATAGTAAAGGATCAACACATATTTATTATTTGTAATTAATTCAAACATGACATACTTAGATAAATCAAACTACGATGAGTGATTTTACTTATAGCCCGCTCTTAATGCAGACCTATACACTTCTCCAGATCACGTATTGTTCTATGTATATATATGTATAATGTATATATGTAAATTACATTTTCATTCTGATTTCAAAGCTACAAACGTCATAACGAATATACGTATTACCCAGATAGCTACTAGTTCAGGACCTTGTTATTTACTCTAACGGCAGATAGAGGTCTAGTATATGAATCGAGTGTGTCCGAGTTACGAGAAATAAAGAAACTAGGAACTATCTTATAATTTAAAATCCTGTGTATGGGACCAATGTACAAGATGACGTTCTAAGTCTTATTTAACTTTACTATTAACGATGAAAATGTAAAAGTTTAGGTATTCATGACGGAATTTTAGTGGTTCTAACATAAGTGTCTGTGTGTGATAATACCAATGACCTAGGAAAGCACTTTCCATTGAGTATGCGTCTGAAATAGCTATAAAAGATATTGGTAACTAGAGATCTTGGCGTTCTAATAAAGAAGACAAATAATATAAAATATTACTTTCAAGATTCAATTAAATTAATTTGCTTACTCCTCTGGTTTTGTGACTACTATTATCATGTTGCTTGTATTTATTTCTTACATAATTTACAAAAAAAGTGTAAAATCTCTTTCGACCGCATTAGTGCATATTAATGTTCTCATTCTTATTAATTTAGTATATTTTATACCACGAAATACACAGATATTATAAACTAATAATATTACGAAAAGATTACGCCTGTGGGTAACTTCGATGAGGTCCAATTAATACATTTATGAAATACCTATCTATTCAGGTAGGAGTAATAACTGGTAAACAATAGGAATTGTTCTGCTCCTGTATGAATTATAAAACAGCACTGGAATAATGTTTGAATAGTTGTCGTAAATTTTCAGTTGGATCGAGATGGGTTTGCCGTTTTGGAGGATTTTCTACGACCAGCAGAATGCGACGAGCTGGTTGCAGCGGGAATTGAACTTACAAAACAAATCCAAGATGGTACCCATAGATCCGTGTTTTCAGCTAATTTGGAGAATCCCGTAAGTACCTCCTACGAGTGCTTTTAACGAGTTTATGTTTGAGGCTATTTATCAATACTGAGAATTTATAAGTGCACTTTGATGCCCAAACGAAAATGGTTGTTGAAACTTTATAGTACCTACCTAACTTGTTAGTCAATTTGCATGGTCAGTTCAATTAATGGTTCTTATGTGTAATAAAATTTTCAAATCGAATATCTCAAAAATATTTCTTATTTATCACAAACCATTGATACAATCTATTAATAAATTAGTGCTTTAGATATATATTTTGCGGAGGTTGCCTCAATATAGGTAATAGGATTTCCAAGTTTCTAATATCCTTGTAGCACGTACTGTATGGAGAAAATGCTATTAGAATTTATAAAGGTAGTTGGAAAATTAATAGAAGTATTAAATTATGCTATCTCTTTGAAGCAAACACATCCATTTTCAATATTTCAGAACATTTAAGGTTATTTCACTTAAACAATATACAATTACCAAATCGATCTATGTAATACCACTGGCTGATTTATTAACGCGGCTTAACCACAGGAGTCAACAACTTCGCCTTTTCATCAATGATGATGATATAGTAGAACGTATTTAGATATTCTTACTTTACTAATAATTAAGGGTATTAAATGTAGGTCCTTTCATTATCAGTAAAGTAACGTTTTGGGATATTTTAAAGAATGAAATTTCATATAATATCGTATATATACTAATATTTTGGATAAAATTTTACTTAACTTTCGCATTTATGCGCGAATGTAGCCGGGATCAGTCACGAATATTACAAAAATATATTTTTGTTTCTTTTTTCAGGCAACAAAGGATAAATATTTCTTAGAAAGCAATGATAAAATAAGATATTTCTTTGAAACAGACGCTCTGGATGAAAATGGTGAACTGAAAGTGGACCCCAGCGTTTCCCTCAATAAGGTATATGATATTTAGCAAGTTTGATTCGTTCTGTACATTTTTACTTATTACAAATTGTATTCTAAAACTGAATAATATTTAAAAGGTTTCAAATGTTACTATAGGACCTTTCCAGTAGGCGAACATATTTATGTGCGTATTTTTTGTCATATGCAATTAGATCATCTATGTACATAATATACAATATTATACTTATTTATGATCAATTGTCAGCCCATCGCTGCCCGATTCATGGATGCGTTCATATCGTATTTACTCGTACAAAATGCGACTCAATTGTTTCTGCTCGAACTTTTACTAAGATTTTGCAAACTCCTAAGCGACGAGTTCATAAAATATTTGTGTTGTGTTCTAGGTCGGGCACGCTCTTCACCTCCTGCATCCAATCTTCAGATGTTACACATACAGCGATCGGGTCAAGGCCGTCTGTCAACAACTAGGTTTCACAGAACCAGCTGTCGTACAGAGCATGTACATTTACAAAAATCCCGGGATCGGTGGAGAAGGTAACATTATGTGAAAATTTATTCAAATTGCTTTACTTCACGTATTTCTTTGTTGTTATTTCGATAATGCCTATAAAATATCTGCCAAATACATGTAATATTTATCTGTTTCCGCTCTAGCATTTGGAGACATGGACTGGTCTTGCTATTTAATTTTATGAAAACTCTGTTATATTATTTTGGCATAAAATCGATTTAGTTAAAATGTGGTATTTGCAGTGAAGCCTCACCAGGACATTACATACCTACACACTGATCCTGTCGCACCAATTGGGTTTTGGATTGCTTTACAAGATGCGACAATCCAAAATGGTTGTCTCTGGATGTTGCCGGGATCTCACAAATCAGGTGTACATAGGAGAATGAAGAGAACACAAGAAGGGACCCTGGACTATGACCGACCAGCTCCAATATACCCACAATCCAGTTTTACGCCAGTACCTGTCAGTAAAGGTAATTATCAAGGTCAAAGTCACATGATAATACAAATCTTCATATGAGATTATCACCAAATAATTAAAATTTGAGTTAATCACCAATATTAACTTAACAAAAGGATTCCTTAAGAGCGAGAAGTAATTCAAAATAGTAAAACGTATATGATTATTAATATTACCGTAATATTATTCTTGACAGGCAGCTGCGTATTACTTCATGGTAATGTGGTCCACAAGAGCGCTCACAACAGTTCAGACAAGAGTCGGCACGCCTACACGTTTCATATTATTGAGAGAAAGAACAACAACTTCTCACAGGATAATTGGCTTCAAGAGGGCAAGGAGGCACCGTTCGTAAATATTTACACAACTTCGCAGATAGCATAATGAATATACCATTTTCGAAATAATACATTTAATTGTTTCTAATGATCTTTAATTCTATTTGGGCTGAACGAAGAAAAATATGTAAGGACCTCTGCTTTGAATCATCATAATTATTATCCTTTAGATACGACCGATTATAGTTTTGCTTATAGCACATTCCTCACGATGCTTTCCTTCACCGTACGAGAAAGTGTGAATTGGCGCATATAGAAAAAAAATATGTTCGTGTAGCCGGTGTCTGAAAGAACCTCAGTTATGCTTCTTATTTCAATCTCAAAGAGATTAAGTAAGGGGATTTTAATAATACTTCTGTACATGGAACGAGGATTAATTTACGCTTCGAGTAGAATATTTTGAATTATTTGTGAAATATGTGCATAATTTTTTTAATCATAGGGAGAACGTACAAAGCATTAGCGCTACATTAACGTCGTTTTTACCTTTTTAAAAAGTACTAGCTTCGTTCGTCTGAAACGTAAGGTGGAAGTAAATGAAAAGTCTACGTCTCGTAACAATTACGATGGACTTTGGAATATGGAAGAGGGTTCGAGAAAGTTATTCAATCATGAAGTATTCGAGGTTGGTAAACGTTGTTTAATAGTGGTATAAAACGACACTTCAGTGGGCGATGTTAAACCGTTTTTTCAAGCAGTCCTAATATTTTCCAAATCTTAAGGAAAATTTCTTTGAAATCTACAATATTATCCATTATACTTTACTATAACAAAAACAATATATGATGCGAATCATAATAAAAAGAAGTATGATTGATTACAAAACAATAAAATTGGCTAATATTGAAGATTTTTCGAGCTTTACTTTTTACCCTTACTTTTTCTCTTAGTCAATTAAAATATTGACAACGGATTATTTTCGCCATTTGTTACAGGACCTAATTATTATGTTATTAGCGTTATATCGCGTGTGTTTTATTAATGACTTTTACAAGTTTTCTTATTAAACTTAATTCATCCTATAATAAGTTTGCTTCGATTCAATCTTTAGATGCTCATTTCTGGAAAACTGTGTTCGCTGAACCCTATAAAGGATTTGCATCGAAGATTTTTAATGGGATGTGAGTCGCATTTGTTCACTTATCATTTTTTAGTACTCAGAGTGGTTCATTAACTTATATAGGTATAATAATTGTATTTAATATTCGAAAACTGTGCATGTCGGATATGATATCAAATGTTTAGATAACTAATTCGTTTAGAAGGCAGCGAAAGACATAATTCAACTTAATGAACGACTCTGAGTCAGGAACTAAGTGCTCGTGTAAGTCCTACAGGAATTAGCGGTACTACTATTTTTATTAATTTATTTTTTTCATTGTCTATTGTTAGAGAAATAAGTCCTTTTGAAACAAAAAACTATAACGATATAGAATAATCATAAAAGTGTAAATACCTGATTATGATCAGCTTGATGTAAGCTATTTTGTATCTTAGTTTTAAAAATATCATACCCGCGATTGCACTTGTGATATTTTCAATAAAGATTCTTATTTTGTCTATTGTGTTTTTTTATATATTGATATTTTACGATTCGGTTAAAGCAAACAGTAGAAAATGTTACAAATTTTCCCTTAACCTGTAAAATGCCCTCGATTAAACTTGGTGCTTGTTAAATTTTATATGAATAAGTAGTTTTTGAAATGGTTTTCATATTAGCTGCGGCTAGGTTGATATCCGTCTCCAGAGCTCTTAGTAATTGTTGGGAGCATTATCTTAGCAGTCATGTAGTTGAGGCATACGTCGATGCAAATTGTTATTGTACTCATAAAATCCACTGCTAAAATACAATGGATGTATCGATGTATGAGAGTTGTGTATCTAGCACACTACTCTTAGTACACATCAAGTCATACCTTTTCATTTTTTTTTAAGGAACCCACCAGATGAATAGTATCAATATTTTACATAAAAACAAATTGGATTTTTTAATTGCGTATTGGATTTGATCTTTAAAGTTGATCCACAAATCATCCGATGAGCACCCTTGACTCATCAATGATTCAAGTTGGTTATTTATACTAATATCAACTTTATAGAAATCATATTGGGTCTCTTTTTTAGACTTACCTCCACTACCAATAATTTGTAGAGAGACCGTGTGTACCAAATGGTCACTTCTTCCAACTGGAGGATAATAACATACCTCACTTATAAGAGTATCGTCATTGCAAAGTAAGTTGTGATTTGGTTTACAAATTGATTTAAATTGCAGTTAGAAAACATATTAAAAAAAAGATTCACTTACATTGTCTAGTTTTTTTACTTGGTTAAGAGGTCATTTTAAGTGTGGTAAATATCGGGTGTTATTTTAGATGTATAGAACTTTAAATTGCAATAAAACAACGATGGATTATTGGACTGACATGATTTTTTTTTATTTGAAAGATAATCTTGTGGCATTACATTTTAAATATGATTTCTGGCATATGACTGCCACGGCTGGCTCGGATATAGTCCAATCTGGACGTCCAATTTTCGATGACTTTTTTCAACATTTGTGGCCGTATATCGGCAATAACACGGCGAATGTTGTCTTCCAAATGGTCAAGCGTTTGTGGCTTATCCGCATAGGCCAATGACTTTACATAGCCCCACAGAAAATAATCTAGGGGTGTTAAATCGCAAGATCTTGGAGGCCAATTCACAGGTCCAAAACGTGAAATTAGGCGGTCACCAAACGTGTCTTTCAATAAATCGATTGTGGCACGAGCTGTGTGACATGTTGCGCCGTCTTGTTGAAACCACAGCTCTTGGACATCATGATTGTTCAATTGAGGAATGAAAAAGTTAGTAATCATGTCTCTATACCGATCACCATTGACTGTAACGTTCTGGCCATTATCGTTTTTGAAGAAGTATGGACCAATGCTGCCACCAGCCCATAAAGCGCACCAAACAGTCAGTTTTTCTAGATGTAACGGTGTTTCGACATACACTTGAGGATTAGCTTCACTACAAATGCGGCAGTTTGTTTGTTGACGTAGCCATTCAACCAGAAGTGCGCTTCATCGCTAAACATAATTCGCTTATGAAAATCGGGAACAACAGACGGGAAAATTGGACGTCCAGATTGGACTATATCCGAGCCAGCCGTGGCAGTCATATGCCAGAAATCATATTTTAAATGTAATGCCACAAGATTATCTTTCAAATAAAAAATAAATCATGTCAGTCCATTAATCCATCGTTGTTTTATTGCAATTTAAAGTTCTATACCTCTAAAAATAACACCCGATATAACTCACCTGTTATAAGTTCTCAAAGGACGCTTTACCGATTATACCAAAAAGCACTTGGTCAGATTCTTGCGTAGTGCAGGATGGAGGACGGTACACACAAGCTAACAGAATTTTTATTCCTTTATATTCGACATCTAGCCATAGAGCCTCAACACATGGATCGTGGTAGTTTTTATTTACTTCATAATACATTTGTATGTTATTCGTTTCATGTGCGGCATATATCAGAACTCCGCCTCGGGGTCTATTCGTTCTATCTAGTCTATACAGGGTATAATGAGGTATATTAATTAGACTATCAGTCAATTATTTGCGTAAATGAGTTTCAGTTATCATTATTAAAGCAGGTTTGTGCGTTTGAACTGCAATAAGAAAAAGATCGAATTTTGCCGTTATGGTAATGCTAAGTTAGTTATAACTGAACTTATAAAATATTAAGTTCAGTTATATGAGGTAAAGCTAGTTTTTTGTGATTGTAGTCATTTTTGGTATGTTGTTATTTCATTTTCTTTAATCATTTGTTTAATTGCCTACAAACAGATACTCAAATTGACTAATAATTCTAACTATCGATTGTATATTTTATAAGTAAATTTTTTAAACTCCATTAAATAGAGTACCCTCCAGGCGCTGAACCACTCCGTTTCGTAGAACCTCGCTATTGTTCTAGTAGGTATTTAAGGACATTGACCTAAAGTGTAAAGAACAATCTCATTACTACAATGCGTTATCCGATAAAGTTATTCGGAAAAGAGTCAGTGGACGCAGTAGATAAGAGAAAAAAATATTTATGTTACATTATTATGGAACAAATTATTTCTCGATGCGGAATTTAATTTTTTTTCTAATTAGACAATCTTTTAGATAAGATATGTAGTCCCATCCACTGGGGCATGGGGACATCTACGTTTCACTGGTCTTTTTCTTTATATATAAGCAGGCGATCACGCGAGCCAAGTGCTAGTAGATGTACATTTGTATTAAGACGAAGAACGAATAGGATACGACCTAACTTTATACAACACAACGAACATAATTACACGGGAATCTTGCGAAGGGAATGCATGGTTTACTACTTGAGCTATCAAGATCACATCACGGTTAACATTACAATATAGGTATGTTAAAAGTACAAATTGACGCTGTTATATTTTTATTACCTTGCTTTAAGGCCTGCCTTGCTATTCTGTAACTCACTTTTCGAACTCACACAGCGGTTTTCGCATCGGCGGTCGCTCTCAAATCAGTCGTGATGCAGTCATTTTATGATTTGGCATTCTGATAAACAATAAACTACAAGCTCCCACCTTTTCAGAATGCCAAATCATAAAATGACTGCTTCACGACTGATTTGAGAGCGACCGCCGATGCGAAAACCGCTCTGTGAGTTCAAAAAGTGAGTTACAGAATCGCAGGGCTGACAATAAATAATTTTATTTATTAAGCAACAGATTTATTTGACCTGTTGTATATTTGTAAAGAAGGAAAAACCCACGTAGCCTTCACACTAAAGAAAATCTCATTTGGTTTTTAAATATTTATGTCCTAACGCCAAGATACAGTGAGATTTTAAGTTTATCCGTTTTCTTATAAAATATCGCTCGCAACGTATACGTAAGTACAACTATGCAAGTGCGCAGAATATTAAAATATAAAATAAAGCTTTTAAAAGATAAAGGCTCTACACCTCGGTCATGGCCTCAGATTTCTGTACCCCTTTTCTTTGTCAATTTTGTCTGTATAC